TTTAAGTTCTTTCAATGCATGTCCATGTAGATATATACAGGATATGTAATTATAAAAGGTATACATGCGAATGTACGGTTTGGGGAGAAAATAGTATGGCTCATCAAATTGACCTTATTATGCAAGGTGAGGTTTTGCATACCTGATAGCTAATTAAGAATCAATGATTTGTAAATGTACCACAGTATATTTACATACTGCCAGTAATTAGAATTCTACTTTGTTTGCCTAGCTATTTTGAAAAGGATTGTTTGTACCAGCAGCCTCACCTGGAAGCATTCTTTAAGAAAGCATTAGATTCTGTATAATGTAGGGAAATGGATCTTTCAGACAGGCAGACTCCAACATACTCCATAGCAGTATTAAAGGAAAATGAGAGTACCATTCAAATAAAAAATTCTTATTTTTCAAAAATGATTATCTGTGTTCTCAGAAGAACTGGCAAGAAAAAGGAAGGATGGAGTTAAAACTCGAGCCTTTTCCAGTTCTAGTTTATTCCATGTAAGGTTGAGTAACCAGAACTGGTTTTGGTATTTAGGCTCCAAGTTCATAATGGATTTATAAAGATTTTATCCTAAAAGCTCTGGTAAGAATAGTGAAATGTGTGTATGAAGGCCAAGAAAAAATCCTCCATATTCTTCTGCCAAGCAATGAAAGGGTGTTACAACCTTGAATTCTTCTTTCAATCCTGGTGCTTTAGAAGCTATTTTTAAAAATTAAGTGTAATGTGATTAATTGTGTTGATCTGAACTTGCTTACATTTAGAATATTTTTATATTCTTTTTTTTTCACAAGGGAAAGAGAGAAGCAATGATGATTAAAAACCCATCAGTTTAAATTTGGTTAGGTAGTTGTGGTATTTCCAAGATTATCATTAGAAATGTCTGAAGATCTCTTCATCATTTTGAGATACTTACTGATAACAAAATAATACATACCTTTTCTTTTAGCCTGCCAGTTATAGAGGTTAAATCCCTCCACAATGAGGGAATGGCAGCTAGGCACAAAGATTAGATGATTCTCCTAATATACAATCAGAGAAAAAAATGCCTATTCTGAGCTGCATTCATTCACCCCAGAACTGCTCTGTATGTTTTGTACCTCCTTTATTCTCTCAGACTAAATTCTTGCCCAAACTCGTAATTGACAGGATCACAGGAAATACTGGAAATGTAGATCCTAGTTATTATTAGTTCTTCATTTTCTTGTAAGAGCCAAAATATCTGTTGATCTATCACCAACAGAAATCTCTTCTTTTAGAATGATTTTGTAAGCGCAAGAAGCTGCATAAGGGACAGTGATGCTGCAATATCTTTTATTCTATCATCAGAGAAATGTATTAAACAGAAGAAGAAATGCTTAAGGACTTGTTTTAGTGTGTGTGTTGACATTAAGCTTTGTGTTCAGTACAGCCATAAATGATCAACTATTGGATGATCACCAGTTTTCCCATCAACTGTAAAGAAACCTGGATCTCTGATCAGATCAAGAAAATCTCTATTAAAAGATATAGAGACTTTAATATCACAAGTATGTCTTGTGATACCATTCAGGTTGAGAGCCTCACCTACTTAGCATGTGCCATCTCTGGATTTATCACAATTTGTTGCATTCAGTCTTTAGTATGTTCTTAGCACTTTTTTATAACGTGCTGTTCAAGCTCTTTCTTTTTAGAATTGCTTAACTCTTCACAAGTGATCTCTGTGACAGACACACACTTTCATATACAAATCATAGTTCTTTGTGTCCTACCAACTGTAAATATGGCTGCCATGGGTTTTTACACCAAACCTGTACTGCAAAGATAAGTGGTATCCAAAATTCCTGCAAGCAACCTTCTAAACCTTTATGTACCCCAGCTTCATCAAACTGACCACTGATCTTACTTTCCTTGTAATTGTCACAGCTGTAAAAAGCTATTCCTGGAGCCATTATGCTGCTCATTAACTCAATTCACTAGGGCATGAATAATAATCGTGTTTGAGTACAGTAGGATTGTGTTGGTTCCTTTCTTCTGCTTGGTCTTGGTACTTGAGGTACCTTTCCCTGTGTCATGAGGTTATATCAAGTAGGCTGTTTTGGAAAATATGTACTAAGTAAACTTAGTACAAAAGCAAAATTAGGCAACAAATAAAGATCTTTAATGTTTAAAATTGATCCCTACAATAAAGCAAGGTATTGCCCAAGTAAAGTCAAGCAACATACTAAATATAGAGGGATATATTCAAAAATTGTTCAGTTGTGGTAGGGTCACTAAACAGGAATAAAAGCTAGTAAGCTCATAAGACACTAGCTAATGTTTACACCAAAGATTCAATCACCTTAGACAGAATTCAGTAACCTCTAAATATTGTAGGAAATATTCTAAAAAGGTATTATCTCTTTCTTGATCTTTAAAAGTTTATGTCAGTTTAGTTGAAGTATTCCATTTATTAGTTAAAGAAAAAGCTCAGCTTACTTGCTTAGGCAATATACCTGTGCTAATTCTTTCCACAAATGGATGCAACCTAGGTCACGGGTGTGGAAGGACTGGTAGAACCAGCTTTTCTTTGCTTTAGACTAAAACTTGCAGTGCTTCATATTCAAGAGCATCCTCTACAAACCAAGTTCACCTAACACATGAGCATATAAAGTTGAACCTTTTCCCAGTCTTATATAAATTATAAATCATCTAGTGTTTTCAGTGTTGTTCTTTTTTTCCTCTCTCTCTTTTTCTGCATAGAATACTCTGTAGTCAAGATATGGCCCTCAGCCAAAGAGAAAATGTTAAAATAGAATCTATCTGTTGAAATAACTACACCTCTTCTGTTTGTGGTTCTTGAAATATATTGAAATGTCCTTCCATATTTCAAGAGTAGAAATGTCATGCTGGAGTTTATTTCTCTCTCTGTGAAAAAATCAGTGTTCAGTGTTCATTTTAACTCCTCTTTTACCAGACATTAAACACTGTAAACAAAATGCTCAACAGGCTCAAATCAGCAGTAATAGCATGTGGTTAGTAGGAGCTGTGGTAATTAAAGTGTTGTACACAAAGATTTCTTGGAGTTGCAAAGACAGTCTGGTTTTGTAGCTGAGAAATTTCATGTATGGCATGTTCATTAGAGTGAAAGTACACTGTTGATAAAGATAGTGTAGATGTTTTTCTAAGAATTAGGTGTTGGCTGTATTAATGTTTACAGAAATTTTGCTCATGCCATTTTCTAGGGCTTTCACTGAGGCTGTAATAGTTCATTTAGAATGCTTTCTAATTAGTCTGGTATACCAAAAACAGTCTGTAAGAGTTGGACTTAATTTCTGTAACTATTTTTTTTTATTTTTTAAAAAATTAATAAAATATTTTTTAAAAACATCTTGGTTTTGTTTTGGATGGTTTCCCCAGCTTTCTGAAAGGGAAACTAGCTTTCTTTAGATTCTTGACAGCTCAAAGGCAGGTTCTTTGCAAACTGAATGTTTCAAGTGATGTCTTACCTGAACTACATGAATCATCTAGCAATAGTATTTTACATCATTGTTTGTAACATTTTCTTAACATTGGAAATCTAGCAGGGACATAAAATCCTTTTTTTTGTGCAAATAATTCATATTTATTCAATACACTGCACTATACATATGTTCCCCAAATATGATTATAAAAATATTAATGAAAAGCATGCTGCCTATATTAAAATACTATTAAGGGTAAAATTCTCTGAATGTTACCTATTACAACAGTGTACAAATGCTATAACAAGTAGTTTAGTGATAGCTATGAATCCTGGCAATACCAATGCCAGGTAAGTTCAATTTACTGTATACAGTCATAGCAGGGATTATGTTATATTTTGAACATGTCTTTCAAACTCTTTCACTGCTTCAGGATACAGCAGAATTTAACATGTACATTTCAGGGGATCTTGGTCAATTCTAAGAGGATAAGTGTTGAGTAAAGTTGCATGTTTTGTATTAGCTCAAGTATTCAGTTGTTCCGTTGGCTCAAAACAGAGAACACCTCTGAAAACAAAATGAAAGTGCACATGTAGGTCAGATACACTGAGGAATCCTGATAGACTACATAGTAGCCTACAGTTGGAATGCAGACACAAAACATATGGATCTACTGTATCCTTCAGAAAGTCTGTTGTTTTGTTTGTTTTTTAGTGCAGAAAGCACACCAGATATTTTCATAATTAATTAATTTCTAGAGCCCTGCTATTGTTGGTTTTTTTTATAGCGTTACGGGTTTTGTACGTGCTACACTTGTAACCTGCCCTTGCTTCAGCTCTGACAATTACACTGGTCACATTAGTGTCCATGTGTGAATTGGCCTGATGGTGGTGGTTAGTCCTGGCATCCTGAAACAGGGATCATAAACCTGAGGTTGAACATGAGTTATGGTAGTAGTAGAGAAGCTTGCACTGCTGCCATAGCAATAGTCAGCTTTGCGTGACACTAGCATTTACACAGCTTCAAAATGTAAAATACAATTAGACAATAGGTCTTTCATCCCCTCACTCTAAAAAACATTTCTTTTTAATCCATCTTCTGTCACCTAGTTATGGTCTTTGATCAGGCAGCATGCCTAATGACAAACTTCTAAAACTATGTGGAGTTGCCTTGGCTCTCAAAAATCCTGACAAACAAGGCTCCTTGATTTCCTGTTTCAGTATCACACAGATAATTACAGCCAAAACAAAGATTCATTAATTCATTTGCTCCTTCTACATGAATAAATGTGTGCTGCCTAGTAAACATTTATGAAACCATGTAAACGAAGCTCTAAGAAATTTGTGGCACTGTGCAACAGGAAATCCTAAAATACTTTGAAAGATTTTGTAAAAGAGCTAAAAAATAACAAAATAGTAAACTTCTGTTTTGAACAACAGCTGCCTTCCTCTGTTAGAGCAGCCCAAATTTGCCTGCTGCATCCATGAAAGCTGTTCATTCAGTGAAGGTCAAAGGTTTTGTTGTTGGTGCACCAGCTGATGATCTGTAAGCCCGTCGGGCTGTACTGCTGAGCATAACAAACTGCTGTGCAGTGCTGACGTGCGTCACAGGACCCTGGGGTTTTGCACGGGGATTAGTCAGGCTGTATTTGGTAACGCCCTCAACTGCACCCTGGGCTGCTATATTAGTGTGTCTCAAGCAAGAGGAATTTTCTTTTGCTTCTGCAGCTGCTCCTGCAAAACCCTCGGGTAAGTGTGCACAGCTTCTGTCAGCAGTATTGACTGTCTTCTTGCCTGTGTTTTTAAGCCAGGGTTAGGAGCTGAGGGCTTACTTGCTGTTGTTAATTGTGACTGTGAAAAACTCTAAAAAACTGTATTTTTAAATTAAAAATATGATAGCACAGAATGAGCAACAGCATCAAAGGAATAAATATACTTAGTGGTTTTCATTGAATAGCTTAAATGTTCCTCTACTTCTAACTATGTATCAGACTGTTCTGGAGTCTTGGTATTTTCACAGTGATGTCACTATGTACCGTGCATGTTGGCTTTTATTTTATGCAGCAGGAATAGAAAGACCACATAATATAGCAGACCAATTCTTAAAAGGATTTGGTTGGTTTTTGTTGGCAGCCTGCATGCAAGCTCTGCATCTCTGGACTCTGCTTGCCACCTATGCTGTTGCAGTAGGACAAAATCAAGGACAGAAGAATCAGGAGTGCCCTAAGCTCAACGCACAGGTACTCTCCTTTAAAAACACAAGAGGAAATGCTGTTGTCGTGTTTTCTGTGAAAGCGCTCTCTCCAGATTTTTATAAGGGTTTTTTTTTCCAAATTCAGTATCAGAATCCAGCACATTAAGTATAAAAATATGTAAATAAATAAACACCGTAAACCAGGAAAAATTATTTTTAGTGTGCATCCTATGCCATGTCTTAAAATAGCTTAAGCAGTGAACCCATTTTCAGTTATTTCATATAACCTGTGCTGGGTATCTAGTTTTACAGCATGTTATCAAGTAACTGTGAAGATACTTAGTGTTCTGTTATTTCATTCCCATAATAACTACTCTTTTACTAAGTAGTCCTAAGGCTATTTCTTGGCAGAACTACTAAAATAGTAATTTGGTAATTACTAGTTACTAAGGATTTCTTACCATATTTGAGTTTGCATCATCTGAATATAACATGTATTTTGGTTTTGGGAATTATAAATTAGTGAGTCTCTGTGTCCTGAGCTCAGATTATGCTAGAAGAGTGCACAATTACTAGTGAAGTTCTCCTGACTCCCTGCACATAATGGAGTGATTGATGTGATTACACTCATGTCCAGTAGCTTTTGATGTTCCTGTCTAAAATATAAGCCTACTAACTACTACTTAGCTGGAGCAGCTAAGAGGGACCTCTGTTGCACTCATGGGCCAGAATTCAAATTGTCTGAATTATAGGCAGTCTTGCTTCATACATGAGCATAAGTGTTTGGAGGAAAAGATTCTCACAGTGTCATTCTGTAGATTTTGTTATAGTTCCCCAGTTTCTTGCAATTCAAATGTTGCAAGCAGCAGAAATTACATAGAGAAGCTTGCATGCTTTCAGATGTTTTTTAAGCTTTGTTTTCTAGAGCAAGTCATGTTCTGTAATAATAGAAAGAAAAAAAATTATTGGAAAATAACATGTAAATTAAGGAATGTACACTATTTCTTTGTATTTTTACCAAACTGTTTCTTTCTTCCACCAAGAACACCAAAACCACTTTTCTGTAGCTTCTGGGTATCAAATTTCACAGCTGTCACTGCTGCCATGCCCTGCCTTTTTTGGTACATGTTCATAAGTGAATATATGTGATAGCTAGTCTAAGACCTTGAAACTGGGCATCTGCAATTCCCAAAATAAATGTCATTTAGTCTTGGTTTATACTCTTGTACCTGGAAGCTGCCAACATAGATTAGAATAAAATTTACAAATAATTTTCCCCTAACCAATTTATCACTTTGATTTCTGTTTGCCTTGCTCAGAAATAACATGGATAGCTCTCTCTCCATGCCAGCCCACACTTGTGTGTTCTCTCTATCAAAAGATAACAGGTTTGAAACCTAGTCTAGTCTAAAGCAGGTTTACCAACAAAGAAGGAAAATAGAAATTGTGTTATACTTGAAATTCACATCCTGTCAATAGCAATACAGCTAGATCTTTATTTCGATCTTATTTGTTACCCTGTCCTTTTCATGACATTATGGTAATCTGAAATTTTGTGGAATATTTTTAATACATTTACAAGTGTGAGAGCAGTTCTTACTGTGATTCAGAATTACTGACATCTAACAAAGTACTCTGTCAATCACTGAAATTTATAGAGAAGTTCTCTTAAAATGTTTTCCACTTATAATCCAGGGTGTTTTCTTAGCAACGATTTGGTTTTTGGGAGGCTTCTATACTAGATGAGTCTTTATAAAATAAGAAAACTTGGTATTTGCCAAGTAGTGTAGGCTTACAGGGTATCAGTATAAAAATACTCTGCACCATTTTTTTATGTCCTTCGTCAGAGCATTACTTAGCAGACTTATGATGACAACCTCCTACAGATTGAGTTAGTACTTGTAATATTTTAGGCTCCGTGTCTAGAGTTGGTTGTGAAATGAGCCATATCTCTATGTAGTTAAGATAGCAAGTAATTCATCAACTCATCCTTCCCTACTTAAAATTACTGACAGTGAACACAAAAGGTCACTCAGTTGTCCTTTATATGGAGTTTTTATTAGATTTTTTTTAATTTTTGTGTTAATCATCAAGACTTGTTTTACTGGGTAGGGGGAGGAAAGCAACTGCTGTACCTCCAACACTCAGTAGATTGAAAAATTCAGTATAATCCCAGCTCCAGAACATGACATTACTCCTTGTGGACACAATCAGTTTTTAATTTCCTGGGATGCCTAATTGGAAATGTCTATGATGGCAGCTGTAATTTCACGTAGATCACTAAAATGAATGACAGGTCTTATCACCAGCTCCTGTTTTATAATCAAACTGACACAGCATGCACTTAGATACATGCTGCCTCACATACTAAGAAGACAACTTATGTACTAAGCAGCACCTGGATACATAAAAGCAGTTCTTTTGCACTTCTGTTATCCAGTTGTGTATAAGAAACTTAATTTCAAAACTAGAATTCAATATGGCAAACACTTCTCTTTACTTAACCCAGCTACACAGATGCATGTCTCATGTACTAAATAGATTTGTAATTTTCAGAACTATCCTTGTGATAAATGACCCATTCTGTGGTTTGTAGGACTGGGGGATTTCCAAACCTGCGTGAATCCATTACTGTTCATTCCTCAAGGTATGACCATAACATTCTTAGCTACAAAATCATTTCCTACATCCTTATTCCAGTTACCTGCTATCACAAACAAGCAGATAATTGTTTTCTTTTTCATAAATCCAACTAAGCTCAACCTTTAAAATAATCTTTTTCAGTTTTGTTCTTCCTTCTCTCAGAGGCTCCTAAATATGTCAGAGACCAGAAACTAAAGTGTATTTGTGGCCAGTGTATATGCCAACCACAAATTACCTTTGGGAGTTGTCATACATAATGTTTTATGACACACGAGCCTCTGAGCTATTCATTAGCATATAGATGCTCTTGGTAAGAAAGCAAAACTCTTCTCACACTTTTATAATATGACAGAATAAATAGGAGCACTTAAGTGATTTAACATGATGTACTTTCAGATGTCACAAAGAATTTTGAATTGCTTTTCCTGTGCTTATGTAGTTTTAGCTCTGTATGTAGAAGCTCCTGGTTCTGAAAAGCTTTCTTGACTTGGTTAAGTGCTGTGGAAATTTTTATTTGGCTGCTTCTCTATCTGTGCTCATCCCAGTCAACTGGTGCATCAGAATTTTGGGAGGTTTATGTGTGCACACTGAATTGACTGCTAGAATTTTCTTAAACAGTAAATAGAAACACTAATTTTATCAAATTGACTGAACTTTTCACCCTAACTCTTTCAGCTGTCTTATCAGCTCTTTCTAACTAGAATCTGTTTTTTTCTTTCAACTGGGAAGAATGACAAATATGCAACAACAAAACAACAGCTAAACTGGGCAGGAGTGTAAAACATTGGAGGAAACAGTTTGCCAGAAAATTGGTGGCTGCAGTTTCAGTTTCATTTACCCAGTCCTTAGACAGTTTCATTTACTTCTACTATAATAATGATAAAGAATAAATAAAAGAATTGCTGCTTAATGTTCAGTTGCAAATATTAATACCAGGAACTAGTGATAGAAAAAGTGGCTATTTTATCTAACCCTATTTGTCTGAAGCTTTATCAGATGTCACACCTGTAATGTAGACTTGTTTTTTCCTCTAAGAGTGTCTGAGAGAATGAAAATGTCTGGGTTATACTTGCTGTAGAAGACTTTCTCCCACTCCTAAATTAAAATACTCTTCAATTTGTGTGCAAAAATGAAGAGTGTGTTAGAAATAAATTAGTCTTATAAACTGATCTTGAGTATGAGTTTACAACATCAAAGCAGGAAGTTTTCATCATACTTAAAATCTCAAGCAATTTCTTGTTTGACATGATCTACTAAAGTGTTTACCAAGATTTTTCCTTAGGTTGTTTCAGAAACTTACAAAAGGGCTCAGTCTGAAATGAAACAGTACCAAACAATCCAATTTTCCTTTTCCAGTCCCTTCCTCTGATCTCTCCATCTACCCCAACATCTGTTTAAGTTAATTATATTAGGAAATCTGTTGCTTAGTAGCTAAGTAAACCAAATAATGCTTAACTACTTCTTTAAAAAGCATGCATTTAGATTTCACTGTTTGATTTTTGCATTCCAAATCTAAAAATACATATATAATTTGCTGAAAGTTAAAGGAATTAGATTAGTCAATTTACAGTACAAAAATTACCAAGTCAAAGTGCTTTGTGCTTCATTATAAAGAATATTGTCTATGCAGAAAAAAGTGGAAAGCTTACTTTTGTTTACCAGCACCATATAACATACAAAAGAAAAACCATAAAGCGCCTTTAAAGAGTTACAGATTATTAATATTTTGTTTTGTGAGGCTAGATGTGCTGCTAATTGTGAGTAAAGAAATGCTTTGTAAAGGTATATCTCTAAAGATTAGTGAATCCTTTAATGGATATTTTTCAGGAATTTTATTTCTTGTCAACAGTCATTAGCTTTCTCAATGATTCCCAGCCTGGGAAGTAGCTGAGAGCTGGAAGTCAATCCTGATGTACTTTTTGTGGCTTTGCTGTGCTAAAAGAAGTAGTAACCAGGCACTGCAACAACACAAAGAACTCAGGGATATTGCCTTAGGAGATACCACTTTTACAAAAAATGTCTTTGCCAAAAGATCAGAAAGGAAAACCTTAATTCTTCCCATCAAAGTGAAATTAATAGAGTTTGTTTCTTTATGAGATTTATAAAGCAAAGAAGTAGTGAATACCCTGTTCAGGACAATTTTTGACAAGGTACTGTGGTATAGGTGAAACTTTTTTGAATGAGCAGAAAAACTTGGAAATTTATCAGAGACTCATGATTAGGGTTCTAGAAGGATTTCTGTTTTCAGTTTTCAGCAGTGTCTTTGAGGACATCAGTCAGAAAGTAGCAGTAAGCACAGTGGGGATGTAGAATTATTTGTTTTACTGAAAGATAGGAGCAGTGACATGGAAGAAACGATACAATCCAGAAGGATTAAATATAAAATTTAACATTTTGCACAAATGCCCATTTCTTTCTATGAGTAATTTTGGAGAATATTTGGTCATTTCCAAGTGAATTTGAGTCATTTTCACCATATTACTGCTAAGACAGGGCATGTGTTTTAGTGTACATGCTACCTGAAGACAAGGCCAGAGTGGCCCTTCAGCCAAGGCCTTGTCAGAGCAGAGCAGAAAGGTTTTACCCACAGTCATGGATGCTGTGTTGGAAAACAATGTGGTTCAACTGGGTGGGCCAAGGCAACATCAAGAATTATCAGAGATTTAGAAAATTGTATTCTGCAAAAGAAGATTGAAGAACACTGGGGTTTTACTTTCAGGCAGAAAGGAAAATTTATCCAGTGAGCATCTGAGAAAAAGAACACTTTTCTCCAAGTTGAATGACTTGAAATTACAGAAAGGAAGATTAGACATTAAGCAAACTTTTCCAAACACACAGGTAGTTGAGGAATGTGAGGAATATGTGAGTGGGGGTTTTGAACAAAGAGTTAGATGAGCCTCTGCTCATCTGATAAGGATGTAGCTGCAATGTTTTGCTCCCACCTGAGAACAGAGTGGACTAGAGCTGATATTTCAAGGTATGTTTGGATCCCTCTTGTGTCTGGCACACAAGTGTCTTTTCCCTTACAAAAACATATGTTTGCATACCTTAAAATGGCACCTGTTTCTTATGTGATAACCAAATTGCAATTTGACTGCAAGTTGGCTGTTACTAATGAAGAAAAGACCTACTGGCATCAAGAGCTGGAAGAAACAGTTCTGCATGACTTACTGACAATTGGTCATACGAGAACTCTGGGTCCAGAAACTTCCCGAAATAGAATCTCCCCACCACCACCTTTTATTTTAATTAGCTCATTGCAGCACTGATTACATGCTAGCTATAAGAAAAGGAAGGTTGAAGGATCAGAATGTTAAAAATGTAATTCCTAACACTTTAGCATCTCTGGAGTTTTATAAATAAAAAATAAAGTTTACTACTCATAAATGCCCATTTAAACAGATTGCAGATTCTTTGCTTTAGAATGGGTCCATACATGATTATAAAGGAAATAAATACCTGCTGCATTGGGAAATTCCTGTAAATAAATAGTTCTTCTACCATTCTGCAAGTTTAAAGATAAACTCAGAGTAAACAAAGGCTTGGGGAACTGTTTGGGAAAGAATGGGGGTTTGTGGGTTTTAGGGGGTTTTTTCTTGTTTTGTACCATATCCCTCATTTATCAAAACATTCAAGAAATATACTTCATCCAAAAGGAATGTATAGAGTGATATCATGTTATTTCAAAAGTGTGCAGTGAAATAGGTAATGGTAGCAATTGATGGATTGGGCTAGGGAGGAGGGATTGCTGCACAGCCTTGTTGTATTGAAATACCCAGTTGACACTAATTCAGCATTCTCAAGGAAACAATAGATGTCTTCTTTATCTCTGATACTTTAATGGCATATTATTTGCAAAGAGAGTTAGTTTTAAGATTTACTATCTCCTAGTGACATATCTGAATCACAAGATGATCCCATATGTCCTGTTCCTACATATCTCCCTTTTGTCCTACAACTATAATGACCTTTTCTGAGTGTCAGTTTATTGAACAAAGTGATACCTAGGCAAGGAAATGAAAACAGATGTTGTAAGCAAACAGAACAGTATGCAGTCATTGATTAATACATCCAGAGTATTTTCTGCTTCTTACTCTTGTCTTTCTGTCCTGACCATGTCTTGATGTCACATGAAACTGTTTGTAGATGCAGAGCTTCCAGCCTGATGGACAGCAGCTGTTGCCTTGGAGGTTTTCCTCTGCAAGTGTATTTATGTCTTTGTTCTTACTCTTCATAGATGCCAGAATTTCAGAAGAAGACTGTTCATATTAAGGATCCAGCAAGAGTAGAGGAGATTATTTGTGGCCTCATCAAAGGTGGAGCTGCCAAACTTCAGGTAAAGGTCCAAAGAGTTTGGAATAAAAGCAACTGTGGGATTGTTACTCTATGCTAAAAAATTTAAGCATAACTGTATGTATGTAATAGAATTCAACCTTCAAGAAATCTCCAAAACTTAGACATGTTAACTCTTTTGGTAGTCCTTGTTGATTCAACTGTAACTCAGCCTGACACTAGTTAAGTAAATGACATAAGCATAGAAGCTTAGTAATTTCAGAAACTATTCTCAGCAAAGAAATGAGAAAAACAGTTTTGTTAGAAAAACCATGACTCTTCTGGGATATGCTAGCTTCCATGACAATGGCTCAATAGAATAGGGAGGCTTCTGTGACACACATGCTACTCAGCTGCAGCTATTGTTGATAGTTCAGAATTTCTAGCCATTCTTTATTTTGTTCCTCCATGTTGTAAGACAGTTTTGCTTTTTCTTTCCTTAAATAGATTATTACAGATTTTGATATGACATTAAGTAGATTTTCCTACAATGGAAAAAGATGTCCAACTTGTCATAGTGAGTACTTTTTTTTTTTTTAATACAGATTGATTTGTTTGCTCTTTTTAGTTTTTCCTATATTTTAATTTTCTATTCAATTTATTTCCAAATGAGATTTTATATTGACTTGTTACCTAATCTGTACAACCTGCTGACAAAGTATTCTAGTGACTGTGTTTTTATGTGCATTTGTATATATATATAATAATCAAAATCTGTGTGAATTAAATCAGATAAGTTGCCATTCACAATTAAAACATTAAGTTTTGAACTCTCAGATGTTAGTGGCTAAATATGGCATGGTTGACTTTTGTTTTTCAAGAACCCATCATAGTCCTGACACCTGCAAGAATCAGATTGTAAACTCCTTAGAATTACTGGCAATTTTATCCTTAATGCTGTAGCCTTTTGCAACAAACAAGGAGAAATGGGAACTCTAAAACATATAGGATGCCTCAAGGTGATTTTGAAAACAGTTAAATCTCAAGAAACAGATACAAAAGCTTGTAACTGACCTTGTAAATCAGAGATTAAGGGAAGGGCACCTTTATACTTATGAAGAAAAATGTACTTTTTGCTGGTTGCCGGTAAGAAAGGTTCTGAGGAAACATATTGGTATGTCACCAGACATTGTCATCTGTGCCATTTACAGTGCTGTAGAGCAAAGTAAAAGATATGTATCATCTTGTTTAACTGTCTTTTTTTTCATCCCTTTCCCAGACATCATTGATAACTCTAAGATCATCACAGATGAATGTCGGAAAAAGGTAAACAAAAAACCTACAAGCATTTGGTTTGTTGTACAGACATTTGTCATTATTCCCTGAGAAGAGTGTTCTTTTGATTGCTTAGACCAAAGCCCAATGCATTTTATGAAATACATTAAACATCTGATGGGTTTTTTTCCCCCTTCAGTTACTTCAGCTGAAAGAAACTTACTATGCTATTGAAATTGATCCAGCTCTCACCATTGAAGAGAAATACCCGTATATGGTAGAATGGTAAGAGACAACTCCTATTTTCAGATTGTACTAATACTAGATTTAGTAAGTCTCTAAAAGCAAATTAATGGCAGTATTTAGCTTTTAGCTATTACATTAACTGAATTAATCTCTTTAAGTTTTGTACAACTGGTTTTGTTTTGCTCTTAACCTGAATAAGCAAGAATTAACCATATAGGATGCGTTTTTCATAATGAAATTTAATGAAAGGTGATCCTTAGTAAGTGTTGCAGTGTGATGTAAGCAACATTCAACCCATTTTCTGTTTATGTTCTAGGTACCATAAATCCCATGCACTACTCATTGAACAAGGCTTACAGAAGGACAAGTTTGCAGAAATTGTAAGGGAATCTGATGTTATGCTGAAGTAAGTTCCTTTTGATTTGAGTTATATCAATCTGTTTTAGAGCATTTTCTGTAGATTCTTCCTGAGTGTTGGGGGAGGAAAAGAAACAGAAAAGGGAAATTAAAAAACCCACACATTTTCCTGAGAATGAGACACCTTAACCTTGGACCACATTGAGCTCTCCATGCTCCCACTTAATTGTTGTGTTGTATCTATCTAAATGCAGACAGTAATCTCAGTGTATAAAGCAGAGATCTGAAACTTTTTTTAGTCCCTTCTCTACAAGCCTAATTTCTGTAGACTTCCATCCTCTTTAAATGGCACTGGTGATCCTTTTTTTTTAAGAGTAATGTGAAGTGTAACTTAATTCCTTTGAGAAACACTTGAGGAACATGTTTCATATGTTGTATTAAATATTGTTCTTCTATGGCTGAAGGCAAGTTTAAAAGACAGCAAAATCCTTGTCCAAAATGTGCTGTGATTTCCATCTCTTTGAAAGCCCTGTAAAACTGTAAATTTTGGAATACTGAAACAGGATGTTAGAATTTAAATTGTGAAAGTATTTGTTTATAACACTGACTGAATCCTTATTTTTTGTACAAAAGACAAGGACCCACCTGTGCCTGTTTGAAAGCTTAAGTCCATGTTGACTGAATCTTCATCCACAAGCTAAAAGTCTTTCCAGAACTTTCACAATGCTTTTTTTAAAATGTAAAATTCTACCAATTTATGTCTGTATGGAGAAAGCATATAGAGATAATATTTTCTTGTTCTTGGAATGCTATACATAGGGTACTGCATAGTAAAAAACTTTCAGTAAACAAAACAATAAATATTTTGAAGATTTAAAGACAAAATTTGTTTTATAGTAATGACCCTAAAAAAAGTCAGATATTTAAGCAAGGAAAATTGAAAAGAGATGTACAGCCTGATAGTAGCTAGAGTGAGCTCTGATTGCTTGTTCTGGAGTACTTAGGGAGGGGAAAGTGTTTTTAAATCTTTAAAACATGATTAGATATTTTGGGGGCAGAAATTATACAGACCAATACTAAACAGATGCAAAAGTTTCTTGCAAACATGCCTTGTGTTAGGTTGATGGTTCTTGCTGACCTGAAAAGGTGAATTAAAAGAAATGCAGTAAAGTGCTCAGGAAATATCAATTATTTTCCAAAGATGATGTGATTGTCTCCTAAAAATTGGAACTTTTCTTGGCTTTTTTTATTTGAGATTTGATTTGTTTTTTCATTCTGTGTTGCAGAGAAGGATATGAGAACTTCTTTGATAAGCTCAGTGAACATAATATTCCTGTGTTCATATTTTCTGCTGGGATTGGTGACATTCTTGAGGAAGTAATCCACCAGGCTGGGGTCTACCATTCTAATGTCAAAGTGGTTTCCAATTTCATGGACTTTGATGAAAACGTATGTATGAAATAACACATTCTTCTCAAACATGTTTGATAAATACCACACTATTTGTGGTATTTAGTATCTATTTATACACACTACAAGATAGATATGTACAGATATATATAGAGATAGATCTGTACACTCCTCCAAGCAGGGAGAATCATTGTCTGCCTGCTCCTAACTGTGCTGTCACAGCCATGACATTACTCTAAACTAATTTATTTTGTTCATCATGACAGATTTTGCAGTTCAGTCTTGGCTCACCAGTAACATCACCTCTTTCATTCTAGATGCTGTCCTGCCTGAATGGTACCAGACATAACTTCAGTGTTGCTTTTTTCAATAGGGAATATTAAAAGGATTTAAAGGAGAATTGATTCATGTTTACAACAAACATGATGGTGCCTTGAAGAACACAGAGTACTTCAAACAGCTAAAAGACAACAGCAATATCATACTGCTGGGTGATTCTCAAGGAGACTTGAGTATGGCAGATGGAGTAGCAAATGTTGAGCACATTCTTAAGATTGGCTATCTCAATGATAAAGTAAGTAGCTTTACATAACCTTGTAAGCTTTGAATGAAGCACTGGGAGTTAGAATCAGAGCCACAAGTATATATTGCCTTGTTTTTTGTACAGAGCTACTTCTAAAGAGGTGTTTCCTAGAGAAGTAAAATTCAGAGGCTATAAACATTAATTCTGTTAAATTCCTGTGGCTTCTCCTCCTTTCAGTACTAAATTGATAACTGAGAAAAATTATAATCTCACAAATAACAAATCCAGGCAGTCCCTCCTTTTTTCTTTTTACTTTTTGGGGTTTTTAAGTGACACTCAACTGATTATTTGCTAATTTGTAATGAATATCCATTTGGACTGATGAGAGAGAAAACTTTATTTTGTATATCTCCCTGCTCTTCCAGGAGTAGTTCTTCTTTCAGTATCTCTATGTGTGACACCCTGGAATAAACATGATTATTTTATCCTGGAATGCACTTTAGGTCAGGGCACTCCTACTCTGTCCTCCTGTGGAATTCACTTGTAGGAGTAATACATTATTTACATTGCTTATTCTGAGAATTTGGTGGAAAGATTGGGCAATATTTTAATGACAAAAACTTTTTCAATAATTAATTCTATAACTAAGGGGGTCTTTCTCTTTATTCCTTCTTGCAATTAGGTAGATGAGCTTTTGGAAAAATACATGGACTCTTATGATATTGTCTTGGTGAAAGATGAATCCCTGGAAGTTGCCAACTCCATTCTACAGAAAATCCTGTAAATTGCAGTCTCAAGTCACTCCATTCCTTCCAGGAGGCAACTGGACAGAAGAGCACACATGTGCTATCTTAGATGTGTTTATTATTCATTTACGGAACTGTTTGATTTAATTTAAAACTTTTATCTTCATTTTGGTATTATGAAATATATATTGTATCAATTATCAACAACAAGCTCCTCTTACTGCTCTTACACTGTTCTTTATTGTCTCACACTCCTGTTATAACAAGATCTAAATTGGATTTATAGATGTGATAAACTGCTGCTGATGGGATACTGTGGTTCACTGTCCTTTTTAATCAGGCATTTCAGAGCAGCATTTAGAAAACGTGGCTATTTTGTAAAATTGAAGGTGTAAATGCTCTGTAAAGAGAGTGTGCATTTGTTGCCTTTGCGAAGACATTTCGGTCTCAGCTGTACTTTGAAGGATCTTACTTATATGCTACATAATTTCACACAAAAGTTTTTCATACATATATTTTTCATCAGTAAAAATGCTTTTATTCACCCAATTCAGGCAAAGTGTTTCTTCTTCATATTTTTGCATCATCATCGCACAACATTCTCTATTCTTACTGTTTCTTTATCCTCTGTGAAATGGGAAGAATGTTTTAAGTTAGTGTGTCTGAGATAAATTTTCTCATCTTTGTAACAACAGATGGTTTCACAAGCTGATAGTCCACAGCCTGCCTGCAATGAGCAGGGGCATCCTGAGCTAGACCAGGCTGCTCAGAGCCCTATCCAACCTGACCTTGGATGTTTCCAGGGATGGGGCATCTACCACCTCCTTGGGCAACCTGTGCCAGTTTCACCACCCTTAACACAAAAAAATGTTCTGAAAGTTTTTCCTCTGTACTGAGCACATTACAGCACCTCTCAGCATTGTGTACAGAGTACAGCTTAAAACAGCCGCAATTTCAGAAGCTTGCTGCAGGATGAGTTAAAGATGATGTTGTGACCCTGCTCCTGTGAGGTCTGGGCTGCACTAAATCTATTCATTAATAAAAGAGATCAAATCATACAACTCCCCTAATGTGCAATATAATCATTGTTCCCCTTTGCTTTCTTTTATACAGAACAGAAACTGTGCCATCTCCCGTTCCTGAGGAATTGTAATGAAAATGTGGGAGAGTTTAGATCTGCATTCTCTTCCACCAGAATTACAACACATCTCAAGACATGGCCTCTTTCCTTACAGCCTCTGGTCTGTTATTAAAATTCTGACTTGGTACTATCAGACACATTTTTTTCCAAATCAGCAACTTTACATCTGTTACTACCACTGCCAGAACTTTTCCAAGAAGGGAAGAGAGAGGATAGTTTCCATACCCCACCTCTGCATCCTCTGCAGTAAAATGAAATTATTCATCCCTGTATTTTGAATGCAGGGCAGAGGCTCAGTGCAAAATCTGAGGTAGTGTGATCATCCTTTCACAAATCTCATGGCACAATGCTGTGCCAACAGGGAACTGCTGAGCACAGGGACCTTTTAGAAATTCCATCCTGCATCTGAACAGGCAGTGTTTGAGGGATGATGTCCTTGTACAAAACCTACAGTCATGCAATTCCCTAGGCCTGACACAGGGGCAGCCACGAGGCCAGAGGTGGGAGAAGGAACCAGTAGGACAGTCAAGATGAGGACCTTGAGGATAATGCCTTAGCTGCCTTCCATTCCAGAGGCATGACTCAGGCAGCAGCAGCAAACTGGAAGAGCTGAAGGCACCCTGGCAGTGCCAGGGACAGGAGGAGATGGGAGCAACAGCTGCAAAGAGCCTGTCAGCCAAAGCCAAAAGATGGGGAGAGCTTGATGGCAGCAGTGCCAGCTGCTGAGGCAGCAGTCACAGGGACTGGGTGTGAAGTTTGGCCCAGTCCCTGTAGCCTCTCCCTGGCAGCTCCATTTTCCTGGGGTGGGAAGAAGGGTAGGATGGTCATGGCAAAACAAAGAGAGGGAGCAGCCTCCCTACAGCCTCCCCTGTGCCTGCACTGCAGCTTCAGCACCACGGGCAGGACAAGCAGGGCTTGTGGGACTCCTCACAGGCATCAGCGTGAGCTGCCCACCCAGTGACTGGGTCTGCACCACCCAGGCACAGCAAGGATCTGGGGAATGCTGCAGCATTTCTAGGGGAGCTCTGCAAACAGTATTTAACAGCTTATATTTGGGGTTTTAGACACCTGCAGAACTTACACTGGCTGGGCTAATGTTACAGTTTTGGGAGGGGAGTAGGGTTAGTGAATCTTGGGTTTAAAGCTTTTTTAAACAGGCAATCATGCTGGCTCTTTTGTCATAGCTGCCAAATAAAAGTCCAAAAGGCAAAGGCCTTCTGAAAAACATCAAGGTGTTTGGATGCACTGCTTACTCAACCAGCCTCTAGTTGCAAGAGTCTTAATTACCAGGCATAACTACCAAAGTTTACACTGGGACAAAGTTTTCCATTTACAGGCAGTTTATCTTTGGAATACAGATAAGAGCTAAAATTTAGAGAATGTGTAGCTGATAGTCACAGCTTCACAGCACAAGATGTGTCAGCAACACTCTGGCATTCTGACTACAGGTGTAATGGATTTCCCTGATTACCCCAGCACTGGTGAAAAGGAGGGGGCAGTTCTGTCTCGCTGTGCAGTGTTTCTGAGAACAGAAATGTCCCATGTTTTCATCAAACTTGTCTCAGGATACACATAAACTCATTGATCCTCTCTGCAGAATTTTTCCTCAGCCTCACTCAGCAGGTGAGCAAGCCACCACTCCTTCAGCATGATGAAGGTCTTGTTCAACCCACAATTAAAAAAACCTCAACAAATAAACAAAACCACGTGGAAGAGCAAATACAGGGTAATCTAGAAAAACAAGGAAGCATCTTTAAAAGCAGTTACCAAAACAGATCTCCAACTAAATCTTAATCTGAATTACTGAAATTAGTATTCAGCCTCCCTAGAACCCACCCATATCAGAAGGAAAAAAAATGGTTTTCTAACTACACGTACATCTAAAACTGGTAGAGGATTTCAGATGACCACCATCTTTCAAGCATTACGTAAGGAAGATTTTCCAGCCTCACCTCCAAGCAAGTAGACAATGAACGTTCAGTCACCAAATGTTCAGTCCGTAATGACAATCACTTAAAGAAAAGCATTCTTGCCCTTCCACAAAGATGCAGGTAAATTAAGATCTCCAGCATTCTTTTGTCCTACCATTAAACCCTGTTAGTCTCAGAACCTGTGTTAAGGATCTGCTAGAGCAGTAAACCTCTGCTAGGACTTGAAAGCAATTCAGCCACATTGCAGTTCCTTGATAGAACACATTTGCTGTACAAGGGGTATCTCCGTGCCAAATAATTTACTTCTTGAAATGCCATTCATACAACTTTACAGAAAAAACAGTTACTTATGCAATCAACCTGAAGTAGGAAGTCAGATTTTAAAAACCTGCATTGTGCTGTACAGATTATTATTGTCTGTTCATTGTCTCACATCCCACTGCCAGCCATAACTCTTGCTTAGTATTAAATTAAGGGAAAACACAAGATGCATTTTTAAATATCCTACTCCACTTTATCAAAATCACATTTTTTTATTACTGGACTGTTGTACAGGAATTAGAATTTGTATTATCAGTCGCCTCTCTAAAACCATGACCAAAATTACCTGCAAATGAAATCAACTCTACACCTACAGGTTAAGCCATCCTTCTCCAGCCAGTCTAATTCTTGCAATTGCTATCAAGATTGTCCTTTCAGTTTTAAGAAAGAAATACTGTGAGTAGTATGTCTTTCCAAATAAAATTTCTAACCAGAAACATTTTGCAACCCTAAAAATGTATTTATGATTTAGTTTGAAAAGATATGCATTTCCCAGACTATTTTCCCATAGCCAAAAGAGTATATCTAAAGTTAAAAGAATAAACAAAATCAAGTGGATTTGTTACTCTATTTTCTTCCTCTACTCACAGTATCTCTTCTGTCTGTAGTACATGTCCAAGGTCAAGTATTTAGGACCTTTATTTAGTTGAAAATGAATCCTCCTCTTAGCGGGTGTTGCAGCCAGCTCAAATGTCCTCCCACTGTCAAACAAATACTGATAGTGCTGAACTGAGCTAAAAACTTGCACCCCATACTAAATAAATGTGTCATTTTCAAGTTTTAAGGAAAATCCAAATATTTTTTCCACAAAGAAAAACATAATATTGAAGTTCAACAACTGCAAATTCTGACTTAAGGACAATGTCTGTTATACTCGCACCAGGTGGAGTTACACAGCAGAAAGCATTGCTATCAAATTAGGACACAAAAATCACGCAGAAAAAACTATTCATAAATACCTGGGTTTTTCTGGGTACGCACCCCTGTTGCTTTTCTTTTCCACTGAGCCCCTGACAATTCGGTCACCAATTGCCAACCCTGGCTGCCAGCACCTTCTTTCCTAACAGCAGTCCGCTGCCAGATCTGAGAATAGCAGCTGCCTGTTCCATTAGAGGAGCAGAAACAGCCTGAGCTCTGGAGAGCCCCTCATTAGCTGAGCCCAGTTACATCTGGTGCTTAATGACCCTTGAGAGCCATCATCTATTTTTATAAAGTAATCACAGTTAGGTATGGTAAAAAACTAGCTAGATACTAATTCTATAAATAAATAAATCCAAAATAGAGAGGTTCTATAGATAATTCTAAATAGCTAAGTTCTAAATACTAGGAGATAGTAGATACTAATAGATAAATTCTACATAGGCAAATTATAAATACTAACAACAAAATGCTACTAAATAGATGAATTGTAAATAGCTAGATTAATTCTAAATAGCTGCCTTCTCCTTAACAAAACTGTTTTACACTTTGACCTAGAGGAAGGTGGACCCAAGCTTTCCTCCAAGGGAGAAGACAATAGCTGCCAAAAGAAAGGAAAAGGACTGGGTCTATGTTAGTGATCAGAAATTCTGGATTTTAAGCAGTTTAGCCTAAAACAGCCAGGCAGACCTGGCCTCTGTTGGCATTGTCAGGGCAATGCCCCATATAAACACCATTATTTTATAGCAAGTTTTTCCTTGTAGCGTCTGATTTCTCCCAAAGCTGCATTCTTATCTCTAAAATGGCAACCTGCAGGCTTGGAGGGATGAGGTGAGGAGGCAACAAAGACTTCCTCTTGAAGGAAAAGCATCTTTAGCTGGATCATGAGCCATGTTTGTTTGCCCAAGGAGCAATGGCATGAGAATTTCAGATGTACTTACCCTAGCCAGAGGCACTGGTAAAGTCATCCCAGCTATCCCATCAGTGACAAGCACTTCCAAAAAAACCAGCACAGCAATTTTTGGGATCACCAACTGACAGCAGTTCAGTGCTGCTCCTTCTCCTGCATCTGCCCTGGAAGACAACTCTGTTATCCTGGTTTACCAGGAACTCTTCAGCCCATCTCCTGGGATCCATCTGGAATGTTCCTCCATGCAGAAAAATGAGGTTCATTCACTAAGGTTTTCTCAGACAAAACAATTCAGGACACCACAGAATGATTTGGGTTGGAAGGGACCTTAAAGACCAGAGAATTCCATCCCCCCAAAAGGAGGGGGGATATCCACAAGACAGACTTGGTTTTTTCAGGGCACATACGAGAACAGAGTAAGGAGCTGCTCCCACATTGAATTCTGCTTCTGGCAGTACTCCAATCACAACTTGCTTCCCACTCCTTCTCTCAGCTTTGTCAGCACACAGAAGGGATTGCATCTGAACCACAGCAAAAAGTGAGCAACCTGCTTCCAAGTAAAGCAAAAGGGAAAAACAGTCTGCTGAGAGAGCTGCTTCCACAAGATGGTAAGGAGCCATTCTGGACCCACACTTGGGAATGGAATTGCCTGTCCCTGATAGCCACAACTTCTACATCTGGTATAAAATCATCCAGTAATCATAGTTTAAAATATTTTTATGAACATCAATAGCAGCATTGAACATATTCAGGGTAAGCCTATTGTGTACAAGAGAAGAGAGCTGCAGGAAGAGCATCTGCTTCAACTCATGGTCCCAACCCACCAAAACTCCAGCAAAA